ATTTTTGACTGTTTTTCTAAAACCCTTGTAAATTTTGTATTTCTTTAGGACTCTTAGATAATTCCATATTTTCAAGGGTTGATTTGTTGAAATAATAGAGAAGATTTGCAGCTCAGGTGGATGATTTGCAATTAGTAGTGTTTCTGAGCTGATTGGTTTGGTTGCGGAGCTTTCGTCGTCCCCCTGCTCGACAACATCCCCCTTCAGCGCAATTTTTAGCATAAAGTGAAATGATTTAAATTTCTTCATGAGTGATATAATTGCGTCTCCCGGTAACCATCTTTACACATATATTGATGATTTTCTATTGACTTGGATATTAAACTTTCTGGTCACCTGATTTATTTTTTATTAGTTGGTAGATTTCGTCTATTTTGATTTGACACTAGTAACTAGTGTGATGCGTCTAGTCCTCTCTTTGGTGCAGACTGAATTTTATCAGTCAGGTTGTAATGTGGCCACCATTCTAGGTAGCCCGCCATCACGGTGTACATAGTTTGTGATGATATTAGGTGGTTGGAGGCAATCGGCAGGAAGCCTTGGACCTAGGTTTCGTGCTAGTTGGCACTCGTCAGCAAGGCGTATCTGCAACCTTGAAGGAACTCATGTCCCTTCTGAGATTCGAACCCGCGTCACCCAGTGCTGCAGTCAGAGACGTTACCACTGAGCTATTCGGGCTCGCGATTGACCTCCTGTAGGACTGTAGTGGATATTTTGATTTGACACTAGTAACTAGTGTGATGCGTCTAGTCCTCTCTTTGGTGCAGACTGAATTTTATCAGTCAGGTTGTAATGTGGCCACCATTCTAGGTAGCCCGCCATCACGGTGTACATAGTTTGTGATGATATTAGGTGGTTGGAGGCAATCGGCAGGAAGCCTTGGACCTAGGTTTCGTGCTAGTTGGCACTCGTCAGCAAGGCGTATCTGCAACCTTGAAGGAACTCATGTCCCTTCTGAGATTCGAACCCGCGTCACCCAGTGCTGCAGTCAGAGACGTTACCACTGAGCTATTCGGGCTCGCGATTGACCTCCTGTAGGACTGTAGTGGATATTTTGATTTGACACTAGTAACTAGTGTGATGCGTCTAGTCCTCTCTTTGGTGCATTGTATTGTATTTCGTCTATATTAATGTGTTTGTTAATTGCATTTTCGTTTGAGTACAAGGCTTCTAGGAATTCCCTGACTGCACTTTTGGTGTTTCCTCTGTCTAAGATTTTGACATGATCCCAATCAAATTGATGTCCACAATTGTCTATATGCATTGATAGTAAAAAATATATGCCGCGTCTTTTCACAGCTGATTTGTGTTCTTGGATTCTAATTCGAAGAGGATGCCCACTTTGGCCGATGTAATGCTTGTTGCAGTTCATACAATTTATTTTGTAAATGGTATTAATTTTATCTTCTTTTTCTGTTGATTTGTTTTTCCGAATCTGACCACGGATTGATATCAGTTAGAAAACCAATGAAAACTAGTTAGGAGTACAGGACAGCCGTTTCATTCTAGTTTGGGATTCATTGGCAGTATGCACCCACTGAGGTTCGAACCCAGGACCCTCCAGTCACAAGTCTGAATAGTATACGAGCTTGCCTTGTGTGCGTACTGATGATGAGTCCTAAAGTAGGATGAAACAGCTGTCCATTACTCCCAACGGGTTTCCAATGGTTCTCAAACTGATATCAGTCCGTGGTCAAATTCAAAATTCAATATTTTCTTTCATTTCTATGTGCACTCTAACTACAACTCATTCACATTATGTTATCGACCTTATTACGTAACTCTGATACACTTATTCAACTCCCCCCTTATCCATTGACTAATATCGACAACAACTATGATTGTGACAACTCATCGCCTTTGTTACCACCAGCCTATTCCATGTAGAAACCTGTATTTAGATGGGAATGTACAGATGAAGGGGAAATGAACTCGCCGAGAAGTGCCTCTTCATTGAACTATGTGTCTTGTTTTCACTTCTTATTTTTTAAGCATACATCAGTTTCTCTAAATGGAAATCTTTAAGCTGACCACCTGATTCTTAGTTCTTGTGTTCACTTACCAGCTAATGAGCAAAAACTTTAATCAAATAATGAACTCAAATTTAAAAACCCTTATTTCACACCTGAACAACATACTAGACAATTTTCCTTTTTCTAGAAAAGCCAAAATCAATAATAAAGTTGATCGGATGAAGCTAACTCAACTGATGTGCACTTATCCGGATCTGCGATAAAGACAGTATCTCCCATTGTGGCGTGATGCAGACGCATAGGAAGTGGCTAAAAATTGAAGAGGTAGAAGTGTTCATTCCTTAAATCTGGAGACATGAAATAACCCGATTGGTCAATTCATTTAACCTTGGGCCAACTACTAACCAATAAGAACAATTTATTCTCCTCTAATCTAGTCAAAATCTAATGTGGTTAAGAATGTATAAATAGGTTTTTAAATCAAGGAATATATAAATTTGATCATAGGGAATAAAAAGACAGTTGCAGCGAAGAAAATTTTCTTTTCGACGAAGTCATCATCTAGGCTGTACATTCGTGTATTTATATCAAATGGATGGGAAAGTTCCAGAATAATTTCTGGTTAGGGGTTAAATTAATAAAAGTTACAATTAGGAATTAGAATGCCATAATAAACAGGGGGATGGGTAAAACTCAAACAAAGTAGCATTATAATAACTGAGAAGATTGACATTGTGCAATTGGGGGTTAGAAATGTAAAAGTAACAAAATATACAGGATGTTTGGATAAAAAAACGAGTGTGATGAATAATTGTTTATGCAATCAGGGATTAAATATGTAGAAATAGTAAAATGACAAAATAAGCAGGAAGTGTGGATATGAAAATATGGTAGTGTAGACAGGGATTAAGAAAACTTAAAATAACATGAATAAACAGGAAGTTTAGATAAGAAAGGCGATGGGATGGTCATTAAAAAATTTTACCTGTTTATGATGGCCATGGCAGGGACAGGGGTTGGACGTATTTCTTTTGGATACAAAGAGTGGGTTTGAGTTTTTGGATAGCTAACGCCTCAGCTATGCCCAAATGTCTTGATTTCACTCCCTTTGATAGGTTTGATTGAATCTTGTATATTACTTTGAAGGATTTTTCAAAAGGCGCTGAATGTCCTGAGTTGACCAGATGTTCTGTCACTGAACTGTATACACGTTTTTGGCATCCTTTTACTAGCCAGGCTGGGTAGTGTTCACGAGCGCGTTTTTCAAGTCGGCGCATGGTACGGCCGATGTACTCAGCTCCACAAGAGCAAGTAAACTGGTATATGCACTGGTTTACGCCCTTCTTATCTAAACTTCCTGTTTATTCATGTTATTTTAAGTTTTCTTAATCCCTGTCTACACTACCATATTTTCATATCCACACTTCCTGCTTATTTTGTCATTTTACTATTTCTACATATTTAATCCCTGATTGCATAAACAATTATTCATCACACTCGTTTTTTATCCAAACATCCTGTATATTTTGTTATTTTTACATTTCTAACCCCCAATTGCACAATGTCAATCTTCTTAGTTATTATAATGCTACTTTGTTCGAGTTTTATCCGCCCCCCTGTTTATTATGGCATACTAATTCCTAATTGTAATTTTTATTAATTTGACCCCTAACCGGAAATTATTCTGGAACTTTCCCATCCATTTGATATAAATAGGTTTTTGCCTAATAAAGGTTCGCTTCCAGTTTTTTTTTAATTTTCTGCCATCACACCGTCACTGCTTTGCAAGTCTCATTTAATATTCATTATTTTTCCTACGATGCATAAGATAATTTTACCAAAACCTGGATTCGCGTTTATAAACTGGGACTAACTAAGATTAGTATACAATCAGAGACAGCACCACCTCTAGTTATATTGACACTTATCAATTACAGGTAAACTGCCGTTCTTATAAACCGAAGGTAAAAAAATCTCATTAAGAATGTCTTTTAACGAAAACACTTTAAAATTCTAACAGTATAAATATAAGTAAAGTTCAGATGTGACCTAAACAAAACTGGTCGGCTCTCACGAGGTATGCAACATAGACGGCACTGAAATAGAAACCAAATCAGAAATTAAATACCTAGGTGTCATTCTATCTGCTGATCTCTCCTGGTCGTCTCATATCTTAGCAATTTCTAAGAAAATATTCCGTCTTACCTTCTACATCAAGAAGTTAAAACATTCTGGTATAACCCAGCCCTTACTCCTACAGTTCGTTAATTCTCGCATTCTGCCTATTATTCTCTATTGTTCCCCCTTAGTTTTTCCCGGGCTACTGAAGAAGGACTATATCTTATTACGTAGGATGTTAAAGGTTGTCAGCAGGGTAAGCAACGTGCCACTTAACCAGCTTGTTAATATTCTGGTCGACAGACACTTGGACTCATGTGAAAAATGGGCTAAATCCATTCTGTCTAACTCACACCACCCTCTTCACTCACAACTCTCCCCTTGCATCTCATCAGGCAGAACCAGAAGCCTATATAGAAAACTATATGCTGGCACTAGGAAGTACAAAAGCTCAACCATACCCTACTTAGCTTGTGTTCTGTGTGATAAAGAAAGTATCAGGCTTGATACCTATAATTTTATTAAATAGTCAGTAGAACAACTGGATCTCGTCTTTCCAACTCATATCATTTATAGGTACAACATTTTCTTTCTTTCTTTTCCTTTTCTCTCTCTCTCTTTTTTTTCCGTTATGTGCTGCTTTGTTTCTTTCTCTCGCTTACGCCAGTTAATAAGACAGCCCCCACTTTTCTAACACCTCCAAACACTGTTCAGCTTTACCTTTGCTACCGACATGCCAATGTATTGTTGTAATAATGAACTGAGATTTCCTCAATCTATGTAGAATTCTATTTATTGATAATGTACTAACTGGATGCAATACTGTAGTAAAAATGCTGAGAATTCCATTCTGTATCACAAGTACTGTTTTGGAATAAAGCAAATTATTATTATTATTATTATTTACTAGTTGTATTAAAAGCTTTGTACACATAATAAGTAAAGATTCGATCACTTGTCAACTTGTAATCCCAGAAACCAAAACAGCCATATATATTTTTCCAGGGATTGTAACTGGTGACAATAATTTACGCAGGACAAAGCTCTCAGCTCCGCTAATAAGAATTCTGTTAGGATCTGTCCGTGAAACAATGAAAGACGGTAGTCGGTGAAGTTTTCGTGCTGACCAATCCAATCCCTTTGAGTACATAGTTTGAATGCGAGCTGGAGCAAATAAAGTAAGGTATTTCAGTGGTTGTTTCTTGTAGCATCCTATCCAGAATCCCACAAGTAATCCAGCGCCAAGAAATTCATGCACTACTACTGCAACAGTTAAACGTGAATATGACCATTTGTTGGTATCAATATTGAATTTATCCAAAAGCTTTTTAGCTGCATTGTCAACCATCAACAGAAATCTAAAGAAATAGTATAGCGAATAAGAGGATGAGAAGACGAAACATTCAAATGTTGAAAAGAAGAAAGTGTTTACAGGATTTCATCATGAGCTGACATTGGTTAGAGAACCATTGGAAAACCAACAGGGAGTACTGGACAGCTGTTTCGCCCTAGTTCGAACCCAGGACCTTGTGGTTACAAAGCGAGCTCGTAGACCATTAAGCCACCGGGACCCGATCCAATGACCCATGAATTCTAACTTCTGCCAATTCACGACATAGCACGATCGCTAGCCAATGTCTTCGGCGAGTATTTGTCCTCACACACGACCTGCTGCACCCTACTGGTCACAACTTTCCACTAGAACCCCAGGTGAAACAGTATCACAAAAAATTGACAGGAGAATGAAAGGAGCAATAAAAAGATGCTTCTATGAAGTTAAACGTGCGTCGGTGGCACAGCAGTTAGGACGCTCGCCGACCATGCACATCGTCCGGGGTTTGATCACCGGCCGACGCACTCCTTTACCTCGCTAAGTCAATATTAAGACTGATAAAGAAGAAAGGTTGGGCATGAGGCTAGCTACCCCATCCTGTAAAAATAAACACTGCTATAGAAACTTCAAGTCACTAGCTTGAAGCCCTATGTTCCACTGGGAACGTAAAGGAATAATAATAATAAATATGAATTTAAAATCGTCACACTAAACAACACCACTTGCTCTATAAGCCAGTCTAAACTAAATAAATACCTTGCTGATGTTATCTCCAACTACGTTTATAAATTTACGTGCACTTGTTGGAGCAATTACATTGGAAGGACAGAAAGAAGGGGCTCTTATCCTATTTCTGAGAATATCCCATAAAACCTTAAGCCTACAGGGAAGCAGATATTCATCACAAACTACAATTACCAGACATCTTGTGGATACGGGTCATTTCATCGAGATTTCCAAATCCTTCAAAATATTAAACATACAAAGGACAGCAAATTTACTACGATTTTCTGAAGCAATTCGAATCAAACGTTTCAAACCAAACTTATGCATACAGAAAGACACTGTAGTCAATCTCTCACTTCCTTGATAACTGCATTTTGATTACATTGATTAGTCATCTATATTAGGGATTTTAGCTCATTGAGCAAATTTCAGTCTTATGAACTATAACCTTCTTGAGGTTCTATCTGAACTTATAGGCTAACACTGTTTATTAGATTTCTCTGTTTTCTGTCTTTTGCTTGGCCTCTCGTCCTTTTCTATTTTGAAAGCATATAAATTGATGGTAACTTAAACTAGGAATTGTAATGCTTATACATATGTTAATTTTTATAATATTTTCGCTAATACCATTCAAACATTATTATTATTATTATTGTATCCTTTAATTCCTACAGGAACATAGGGCTTCAGCCGTGTGTCTCCATTGCGTTCGGTTCTCTGCTAGAGTCTTCACCTGGCTCCAAGTTTGCCCACACGTTTTCATCTCCTCTTCACATGACATCCTCCAAGTCACCCTTGCACTGACGACGAACTCGCCGCTTCCCTCTCGGGTTCCACTCGAGCGATGGCTTGTTTAGTGATGTCACTTGATGGTTTCTTCAGAGTATGTCCAATCCATCTCCATTTCTTCCTGCCTATTTGTTTCACAATCGGTTCCTGCTGTGTTGGTTCGTTCCCAAAGATCCCTGTTGCTGATCTTTTCTGGCTGGCCATCTCATCTTGAGTATTGAGCGAAGACAACTGTTAATGAAGGTCTGCAGTTTGAGATGCTCTTTATGACGCGCCAAGTCTCTGATCCGTATAGTAGTACTGACTTCACATTGGAGTTGAAAATCCCGATCTTATTTTTGATGCTGAGTGTTGTTGACCTCCACACAGACTTGAGGGTAGTGAAAGCTTGTCTTGCTTTCCCGATCCTTGCTTTGATATCCTCGTCAGTTCCGCCTGTAGTTGAAACGATGCTTCCCAGGTAGGCAGGTAAAGGAGGTTGTTTCTTTCAGGTTCCTCCCATTTATGCTGATTGTTGTCAGTTGTTGTTGTTGTTGTTGATGGTGTTGCTCAGGAATTTTCATCACCTCTGTTTTATCTATGTTCACATTGAAGTATGCTATTCTCATTTATTATAACCATTGTAATTTCAGGTAGTCTACAGCAGCTGATGAGGAGAACCTGTGAAATATAACGATGAAATCATTTTATACTGTAAATTAGATCTTTCTTTATAGAAATTTATTGAGGGAACCAAGTGCATGAAATAGGTATCGAACCACCATTCAACTTCTCATCAATGAATAAGTGTACTTATAATCTCAAAAATCTTGAAATGAAGTGTGTCACTCTAGAAATTTCTAAGAATAACGAAAATATTGTTAACAACAGCAATAAATCATACATTCGCTGTGACTAATTTTCAACATTTCAACCTTGAATCCAGCAATCGCTCCATCTAGATCATTTTTAGAATTCAGCTATTGTTATAAACAGTCAAGCGCGAATGATCGTCTACTGGTAATTGAAAAAGTTTATACATGCCAATAAATAGGATTCCATTTTCGCAAAATTGTTAGACATGCTTGATTAGTTTACATGCTTGAATTCAAACCACTAAGTAAGTGTTTCAAATCCCGCTTTGCCTACCGAGTTTAGGACAACCGGATAGAATCATTAGACCTCAAACAGCTGGTGTGTCTCATCGCTAACAATAACAGCATGTAAATAACTGGTTTCAATATAGAACTTTGCACAGAAGCGCAGCAGTTTGAGTTGCCACACTCCATTTATCACACAAAGATACACAAAAGCGAGAAAAAAAATTCAAAAGATGTATAGCAAGCAGAAATGAGGGAGAGAGAACAGTAATATTAAAAAAGGTCTAGTGCATTCGAGAGAACACAAAGTGAATAAATCTGCACCACTGAGTACGGCTTTGAGCCATTTCACCAATTGTCTCCAGCCACTGGTTCTTATCATTCCGAAGACCTGAACCAGCCAAGCAGTCTACACCTCCCTACGTCGCTGGCTCAAACTAACTGTTAAAGTTTTCATGGACTGATTCCATGTTTTGGTTTGACCCCTACTAGCTATTTCCCAATCAGATCCTATGTCAGATAACATTCCCCGTCGAGGAAGGAAATGGCTAGTCATGTGTAACACACGTCCTAGTCATCTCAATCGATGTAGCTTCACAACCTCATCGATTGGCATTCCCTCTTTACTTAACACTCAGCGCCTAACCTCAGTATTATTCACCCCGTTACACCACCTTACATAGGTGCTGTGCGGTACGCACATCCTTTGATTGATAGCAGGATATCACGTCTACGCCAGATACGGAGTAAGTTAGCAAATCCCACACAAGACTTTTGTGTCCGTGCTTAGATTTCGTCAGCAATCATCCCATTGAGGTAATGCAACTTCCAAAATAAGTGTGGAGTGATTATCACGCACTACCACTTCACTCCCTATTTTCAAACTAGCCCTGTAGCATCATCCTGCATGTGACAGGAGGAAATCGCTGCTCAAGGTGTTCAGAAGACTGCATTTTACCAGCGCTATCTAGGAGGACTACATCATCCGTATATTCTAAGTCAATAAGACTACACCCTGGTAACAAGCCAATCCCTGAGTCATTGAAGTCAGTTAGGGTTAAGTCCATCTATGAAATTAAACAGAAAAGGGGACAGTGGGTATCCGTGACGGACACCACTGGTTGTAATTACTTCAGATGATAATTCTCCATAAGCTCTTACATGGCTGAGCAAGTTCGAATAAAGTGTCTTGATTAGTGCGATGTACGCTCTCGGGACGCCTCAACATCTTTCTTAATGGCGCAGATGAATTCACTCTTCATGAATGACAATATCTTTTTGCCTCATATCTGTCTTTTGAATCTTTCTCTACTCTCTTCTCTTGCTTTGTGTGCTAAAAGGAATGTGGTAACTCGAATTGCTGCACATCGATGCAAAGTTCGACCATGAAACCAATCAGTCAGTCTCGACACCCTTCACGGCTAAAAATGCTGCTGCTGCTGGATTCAACATAGAACTTGGCACCGAAGTGCAGCAGTTCGAGTTGCCACGTTCCAAATAGCACACAAAGGTAGACAGGAAAATGAGAGAAGAGAAGAGAAAAATGGCTATTGTACCTATCCGTTAATGCAATTGAATGGCCCCTTTAGGTTAAGAAATATGGGAATCATTGGACGCCAATAAGTATGTCTGCGTTCCAGAATCTATTGAAGCGTGAAGACATGACTAATACAGTCTCCACGTGGTCTAAAGCCTGACCGGTTTTCTGGTGTTTGTTTCTTCCGAGCACCACTTAATCTACGCATAATTATGGGGCGTAAAACTTTAGATACCATAACAGGTAAGCTAATCCATCTATGATGGTCACAGGAAGACTTGTTTCCCATACTGTAAACTAGGATGATTAGTGACTTACACCAGTCCAACGGGACTACCTCTGATTCCTAGACGTTGTCAAATACCTTAGTTAACCCAGATCGCAACGTGTCACCATCGTCCTTAAACACCTCTGGAATCATTCCATCAGGTCCTACTGTTTGCCTTATTTCAAATTAAACACAGACTTTGTACATTAAGTTACGAACAGAAGACCGGTGTCTACGTCCTACTCCGGTAGGTATCGGATGGTGGGACGACATGTAAATACAAGTAGTTTTTGCTTTATTTTGAAATACCGCCTCTGATGTAGTAACGGGACCAGTACCTAACTAACTAAAGATACAACTCCCCAAATAGATGAGTTGGTCAACACACTATATTACTTTACCTCTTATTCTTAAACGAGAAGTCTGTACAGATCAGTGGTGTAAAATGGTCTTACATCTTAAATGCAAAACACATTTAAAAGTTTGGTAGTGTTCGACAGACTAAAACTTTTCAACATTTTTCACCCTATGGGATCATAACTTGTGCGCGATCTAAGCCATCTAGAACTTTCCCTATGAGAAGTCATTCCTCAGGAGGTCAGAATCAAAGACACTCACCCTCCTATCTGCCTAACAAAGCACTGGTTTTTATTACTTCAGACGACAGTTCTTCGCAGGGTTATGAGTTTGAGTGGTATTGCATGATTAGCACAACATACTAACATATTTTAATAGCTAAACAATACCACAAAAACTCACACTCGACAGAGTCTAATGTCATCTTCAGGTCAAGAAATACAGCAACTATGGGACTCACATCCTTGCATTCATGAATCAATCTGTAGAAGAGTACACATTTAATCAACGTATTGCTGTCCGAACATGAAAAACCATCTGACTCTATTGGGTTAATTACTCTTAATGACTGTAGTCTTCACCATAATATATCAATCAAACTATCCACATATGGTCGCTACAGAAAAAGCTGTGACAACCAGTAACCTACACTAGTCTGCTAGATCTCTTTTTACAGTAAATACTCCTGAAAACCAGTGGAGTCAGGTGGTAATTTTTTTTACCTCGTCTCAAACCTTAAAGCAAAGCTTTCAAACATTGTAATTAACACTGATTGTAAGCACAGGCATCGCACGAAGAACAATACCTCCATTTGTCGCAGAAGTGTGGGATGGGTTTTTCTTTTAAAATACGTTACTGGTGGTTGGTTATCATCAGCAGGAGAATCTATGAGTGTGATGCATGAAATCTGGGGCATCAATTTATCCAGAGTAGATTAAAACTTCAAGGAGCTTAACTTTCAAATAGAAAAACAAGACCACCTCAAATGCACTCTTAAACACAAAACACATAGTCTAGAAGTAGTGAAGTGTATTAAACAAAGTAATTATATACCAAATTAGAGCGCGAAAATAATGTGGATGGGGGTTACTGTGGCCCCTCTGGTCACGCAGTAACACTCCATTTAGGAGACATAGCTTGAAGATAGTGGTTAGTGGGCCGGCTGTGTGAGCTGATAGCTCCTTGAAAAGCCTTGAATGACGGTTATCGGGTCCTACTGACTTCCTTGACTGTAGTTTCTTTAGAGAACGGAATATGTTTAGGTAGGTGTCGACGGAACCCAACAATGTGTTCCTCCGACGCGACCGGAGCTGATGATATGGCGAGTGACCACTCATATGTGAAGACTGTTTCTTCCTGGTCTCCTTAAGTTGTGTCGTTATCAATAGTCAGATTTGAGACCCCAGTGGATGTCTTATTCCTGAGGTTCATGTTCGAAAGAATTTTCTCGAGATGTGCCATTGCAATTTGGGCTAGATGCATTTCGAACTTCATCCTTGATTGACGGATTCCTGCAATAGCTTTGCTCCTGGCAACGGTGTACAACCTTCTGGCCTCAGAAGTCTCAAATGCGATAAACAGACTTTAACATTTCTGCTAACAGAAAATTAAAAATCCCCATAGTTTAATCAGAACAAGATGATGTTGAGCGAACAACTGTTTCCGATAACTTCTTCCTCAGGCTCCACAGTTATAATTCTGATTGTTAGAATACAAACAGCCAGTCAGTGAAGACAAGTGAAAATCATATCAGAAACTGTATTGAGGTAAATGAATAAGATGGAGTGATATTTCGTTAGTTCATATTGTCAACTGAATGTATATAAAATGTACAGTCATGCAGAAAATGAGATAAAATGTGGATAGACAACTGGGTAACATACTAAGGTATATATGGTCAACAGAATATAAGTTTCATTGAGGGAGAAGGGAGACGAGGTAGTGAGTTACATTCAATGGCGTGAAGGAAATATGATTACCACAAAATACATAGAAACAAATGCCAACAAATGGGGAGCACTGAATGGATTAGTGTTTACGCTTGAATGATCTTCGAATCTCCCGGCTTACCAAGCGGGAGTATTTTCGACACTTAAAGACAGACCAAGGAATTAAGGGTTGGGTTACCCAAGAGTGAAGTTGCTTGAATTGGCTCCATGTAGCTTCCACATGAGACTCTGGATCTATGTGCTAGTACTGTGATTCGGCGGCTGAGACGATGGCATTTATATCGGCTTTTCAGATAACGTTGTGATGACGGAAGCCGATATGCCTGTCATTAAAATGCAAACCATGTGCATATAAATGTTCCATGTGCGTGACCACTGGCATCAAAAACTGAAGAGTGACGGTTTATCAAAACCAGCATAAACACCGATAAGGAATATATCACCAAGAAACGGTTTCACCAGTATACCCAATATCGGCCAAACTTGATGTGTACCATTGTAAAACAGTGACAATCAACCAATATTCAACTGCAGGCTCATGCTATCAAAAGATGAAAAACTGACACCAACAACTCAGTATAGACGTAAGTACATTATTTTCTCACCATCAACAATTGACACGTTAGTGGTTATTGTAACCTTCAGGAATGTGGCCCAAATGTTCGCATTTGAATTGCTTTCAGTAGTATTATTGGAAAATTTACTCTTAGACACTGCATGCAGTGACACTGCAGTTACGAACCCTACTTGGTAAGGTAAATCGCATGTGGACATGCATGTTTTCCATGCTACAAGGAGTTGGATTTACAAGGCATTCATCAGCCTCGACTATGTAATTGAGAGATATTCTCTTGGCAAGATCACCTAGCAATTCCAAAGTCAATCTTTCATTTCGTCTGCAAACTATGGATTAATGACATGTCTGTTTTCCTATCCAAACTGAAGCACAAAGGTTTATTAAAATGAATAAAATACTTGTAAGACATCGGGGCGATTTCCATCACCAATGCTTCCCTTTCATTATCCATTATAATAGACTTAAAAAAGACATTGCACAACTCACACTTACAACTTTAAAAGCGCGGGTGAGGGTAAGGACAGGATAGGCTAAGAGCACTTGAAGGTCACTCGCACGGTGTGATTGCAACCTACTGCGCGATTTTTGAAAAGAAAGAGTTCTTTCACGCTCATGTTTAATTTCGGCTTCTGTTGTGTTTAAATCAATTTATTATGATCGAAATTACTTTGCTTTTCAGTTTTATAATTATATAATTTTCTGTTTTCAGTCTATTTACCAATAGGAAGTGTCCTCTTATAACCTAATTGTTATTTTATATCCATTTTGGTACACTCATTGGTTTTTTATCGCTGTTTTACATAAAGGTCATATATATAAGGTCATATTTGAATCTCGTACTCCGCATTCATTCTGATAAGTATGCCTATCAAAAGGAACCGCGGCGAAAGAGTTATGTGTCTATTCTCAGTTGAAGGAGGAATGCGGTGTGATAGCTGCAAGAGATGTCTTCACAGCATGTGCACAAACCTAACTCCTGCAGCGTACAAGCACTCCTGACAACCTCTGCCAACAGGCGCGCTCCCTGAATACGACGTGCTTTTTCATCTCCATCTGAAAAATACCTATTTTGTGAATTATCCACTTGGGAAACCTGATCTACCTGGCCGATGAATTAAATTCAGCCATTACTTACATATTGAATCTCTGTGTGGTAAGTCCAGCTGTCTCGAACTACTGCCAAAGCTTCACGTGCCACTTCTGCAGCAGCATCTTCCTCACTCGTTCAGATAAACGAGACTTGTTGGTCTACCACGTGATTGCTGTGGAGCCGATCATCCAGAAAGTACTATGTAAAGTCGAAAACCTTTTCTTTTCCTTATTCTGTACTTTATCAGTCTTATTCTTGTTCTTTTGGGTAGAAACTGTTGCTCCCTTATTCGTATATAGCATAAGTTATTGTGATTGCTAGTATGGCTGTTGAAAGTAGCCTTGGTAAAAAACACTAAAACACCATATTCTGTAGTCACAAGGGCTTCAGCCAGGGGAGGCAATGACCCGGGGACATCAACACCATCTCGCATACCGATTCTAAAGACCCGCGTACATCTCGCCTGTTCTGATACTACACCTGTATCCATTGAAAGCCAGTTCGTGAAACACGGTAAAAAAGAGACGTTCAAGACGTCATAAGACCTCGAAGGCGTTATCAAGGAAGGGAGACAAACGTCAGGCATTTAGTGTCATCGTTTCTAAAACTGACTCAGCATTTGAATGCAATTTTTGCAAACAATGGGTACACTGCCGTTGTGACAAAGGGTGCCGAAATCATACGATGAGTTTATGCGAAATAACCCATGCCCATGGTTCTGGTATGTCTGCCAACTTTGTCGCCCTGGCACAGTCCCAGACGGCGTGTTTGTGGATAGCAGAGACAGCACCCCACTTCTGTGTCTCAACACAGTCCCATGCAGCTCCCCACCTGCTAACACCACACTACCAAAGCTTTTTAAAGAGAGCAGGAAGGATACTCCAGTCCAACTGACTGGAAATGCTAATCTTCACAAAGTGAAGAGTCCCAAGGCTGCATCCACAACATCAGGGGAGGATAGAATTGCCAAAACACCACTTGCATCCACTAGCAAGCTTGGCAACACAGCAAAGTCTGGTCAAAACATGATGAAGCCTAAAGTTACTGACCCTGCAAAGTAATACAAGTAACCAAAATCCAAACCTAAGTCTCAGGTCAGTCGGTCTAATTCCCTTGTCCTTTTTAATATACCTGTAAGCAAGGATAGCTGGCCCTGTTCGATCAGGAACAGCGGTCCAATTTCTGCAATAAATGAGGTTTGAACACTAGTTTCAGCGAAATTGTGCAGGCTGTACAGGGGTGTCCACACGCCTCAGGGTAAGCCACCTCCATTAAGGGTTACACTGGACCCTGAAGAAGAGGCCAAAAGGATACTATCACTGGCTCAGGTACTTGCTATCGACAGCAGTTCTAGCATAAGGGTGAGACATGATAGACCATGGGATAACAGACAAATGGTAAGGGAGTCACCGGAATTAATGCCTTCTACCTCGTACACGGTGTACCGGAGCTGGAAGCTGGCACTGCTTGTGAGAAACACACGTATGACGTACAGCAATGGAGATGGCTGTCATCTCAGATGGCCCTTGGCGCTTCTGGAGCAATCTCCATTTTCCGACTACTTATCCCCACTCATCTCACACTGATTAGTTCCCTAAGGCTGCTAAGTGTCAAATTCAGCTCCCAGGAGCAATTCGCCCTAGTACTTCAACAGTGGTACGAGACCAAGGGCAAAGTGGGAGGACACATCCGATGCTGCGAAAGCAGACCTCGAACCATAAGGAGGCAGCTAACTGAGTCCTCAATACGTCCGCAAGCTTCAGTGACACTAGGGCGATGCGGTGCTGAGAATAACAGTCTATGTCACCCAAGTGTCCTACCTGAATCCTTGGAAAAAAACTACATCGGGCCGGTTCCATCCGAATCGGCCAGCTATTCCTAACATTAGGTCCCCTACCGGCAGACAACTTAACGTCAACTACCTCACAACACGCAGAGGATGAGACACACTGTAAGCTACCTATATAGCAATGTGAGGGGACTGAGAAGAAAAAGAAGCGAACTCAGAAATTTCTAGTTGCACCTACACCCTAAAATAATTATTCTTACTGAAACCTGGCTAACCCCTTCTATCGCCCACAGCGAAATCAGTATGGGTGATATGGTTCTGGTCAGGAGAGACAGGGATAATAAGGAAGGGTGGATTTGCTATACACTTTGACAGGCAACTTAAATGTGTTCGCGCAACGGACCCACCACTTATTGAACTCCCAGACTCCCTATGGTGTCGTTGCATAGTAGGCCGCACCAAGCATTTACTGGGTGGTATCTGCTGATCACCCACCTGTGGGGCAGAGCACAACCAGCTACTACCCAGCACCATCATAGGGATACGGGACTTAGGCCATGGCCAAATCACCACAGCTGGAGTTTTCAATGCCGCGTCACTGAACCTTGCCTCGGGGTATGCTAAGGGAAAATTCGGCCGAAATCTACTGCAAACCATTAGAAACACACGACTGGCTGAGAATGTTGGAGATGAAACTAGGTGGGGCCCTAGTGGAAAGTCATCAGAACTAGACTACATTCTAACTAGTGACCAACTACTCGTCGAAAAGGTCCAGATCATGACTCCTGTAGGAAGTAGTGACCATGCAGTCAAAGGTTTTGATCTCGTTCTTTTAAAGCAGTGGGACGTTACGCGCCCATGTCTGTGTTATAGCAAGGTTGACTATGCTGAAATGCGGAAGCTCTTGTCCGATGCAGACTGGCCCTTAGCATGGGATGAGTTATCCGTGGATGAACACTGGGAAGTGGTAAAAGAGATTATTCACACACCCCTTTAATCACAACACAGTCCAAAAGAAAGTCATCATGGTTGAAGAGAGGCACGCAACGTATTCTGCAAGCAAAGCGGAAGGCTTGGTTTACGTGGCGCGTATCCAAGAGTCAGACCGACCACGATGCATACCTGGAACTCAGGAATCGGTGCAACGCGAGAGTCAGGAGTGACAGGAGGTCATTCCAGGCTAAACTTGCCAAAAATCTCCTAGCAAACCCCAAAAACTTGTATTCATTCATGTCAGAGAGAAAGCCAACCAACCAGGGGACATCTGCGTTAGTAGGCCCATAAGGTCAATATCTCACTAGTCTGGAGATGGCGGGAACATTCTGTTTAGCCTTCACCAAACAGTTAAACAGTAATGTGGGTATTGCCGGTACGGACCAATATGACGACACCACCATTTCACCGGAGGAAGACCTAGTAGTTACTACCCAAATAAACCCGATAATAGTACTAAAGAAGCTACAGAGACTCAGACAGATAATGAGTGTATTTATATATACATATCAAATATTTAGCTGTCAAAACATTATTAACTTGTAGACAATCTACTATTTGACATTATATCATACTTGATCGTGCCTGTAAAAATGGCATGCATTTTCATGTAAATTTGTGTTTATACGAAAATATACATTACAATAATGTAATAATAATGAAATAACCATGAGAAACATTGGCGACATGCAGGTGACAGTAATTCCCACATGGTAGCCAGTCATGCTCGGCCTTTGGTGCCATGTACACGGGTGAGGATCAATGACTACTGGACAGTCGAATGATGCCCAGTTGCGCAACGTGTTCGAATTTAACTTTAGTCGTTGACAGTTTGCCAGGTGGTAGCTAACGGGGATGTTCTTTTGAGGGCTGAGCAGTCTTATTGATTTCATGTGTGGCGGAGCAAGGGACATCCTCGATACCGTGAGACGGCTGTAGAATTTTCAGGAAATATTGCAGTAAAGCAGATAATGCACAATTATCAGGCATTTGACGCAGACTTTATAAACGGAGTAATCCGAGATGATTCCATGGATTTGAAGCTCGGCACAGTTGTCAGTAAGCTTTTCAGTAATTGACATCAACTAACAGATTGAAATTGCTTTAGAAATCAACTCCAAGTATAGCGTGACGAACGTCATCTTCTACGAAAATCTCTATAAGACGTCGATGTACACTAAATTTGAAGATAAGTGACTGTTCAACATAAGTCTGTATGTTGGTTGGCTGCACTAAGTGACACTTTCCCTGCATTGTGGGGAAGTCGCCTGAGTAGTTAAAGAAGGATCACACTAACTTCTGCTCCTGTGTCTACCAGGAATAGCTTACCCATAGTTTTGTCCCTCATACATATAAGGCGACTCCAGTGACTATCAGTAACAGCCGTCGCCACTACTGTCTGGTGGGCCGGTTTCCCTTGTCCGAGTCACCACAAATGAAAACGGGCGGTTTCGCACACCGGCTAGTTTGATGTCCGAATTTTCTACTGTACTAGCATATATGTCGATTATTAAAGGGCATCCTGGTCTGCTGTCTTGAGGAAGACTAAGTTTTCTTGACTTGGATTGTGGCCTACTGTGTTTAGCTCTTAGGCTGGACAAAATGGCATCTAACTTTTCCACCTTGTTCTCCAATAAAGAAATAGCTGATAGTACAGGAGTGTCCGTCCTAGGTGTAGCAAAAACAGGTTACGCTGCGTGTCATCACATCACATACAGTGGTGTCCGATAATAAGTCTGGTATGTTGTCTGCAACGTAAATAGATCATCTCAATCGATGAATTTACAAGAGACAGTTAAAGTTTCGTGGTAGCGTTGCAATCACATTTGTAGTAAACTACCTTGTCAAATTAGTATGGGCCAATAAATGTCAGTGACTAAAAGAACAAGTTGGACGGACACCACTTTAAGCACTCCAGTATGAAAGGTTCGTCGCGTAAGATTGTTTGTCGTTTCCTCAAATGTCATATAAAATAACAAATACTTCAAGTTACTATGACCACAGAAATAAAAATATGAATCACCGCCAACAGTTCATAGTTTTTGTATAGAGGCACAGTCACTATATATGGGGTTTCAAGTGATGTTATTATTTCAGACGGTGCAGAGATCAGAAAAGAGTTACATTGTCTTGCAGTAGTGGTTTTTCAATTCAATCAATGACTCTTTCAACATTCCTCTGTTAAAAAAACTGTGTTGGTTTATGAATAAATTATTGAAGCACGATCTAAAAAATAAAGGGTAAGAGTCCGCGAAAAGGAGTATGGACTTTAAAGTTTCTATTTTCGCGTCATATCTCATGAATCCTAAATGAGAATTGAATTGCAATTTTTCAAAGGTCACGTTACGCTACAACAGCCTGCTTAGCGAATGAAAAAAAGCAGGTTTGTTCACCATTGATTTTAATTATTTCATAGTTCCTGGCTAAAAGGTCTTTTTTGTCATAAGAATCATCATAAATTCCAGAAGAGTATTGATTCGAATAATGTTGATTGTGATAAGAGATCGAATTCGAACAACATTAAACCGTTAGAACAGGATGGAAGTGTCAAAGAAACTTTATCTTTATCAACTACTAGCCAGACTCCCGGTTTGGGGGATGGGGGCTCAGCCAGCCTTGGCGACTGGTCTGCAGTGCACCAAGTTGATTGTATCGATAACTCTAAAGTGAATCTCTTGTGTGACGGCAGTCATAACAGTGCCTCTGCTATAATTAGTTTTCTAAATCGAGCAGAGTTTTGTGACCGCTTGGAGTCCATAATAGCTCGGTTGGAAAAAGTTGCTCAGTTAGGTTTGGGTAGGTACTATGAATATAACAAAGTTATGACTACATTTACACAGAAAAAACACCTGGGTTGGTTGCTTTCGAATCACTAATGGCAGGAAGTCTGAAAAATTATTTAACGTGCAGTAAAAAACTTGGTGGCAATATACAATCCCAAGTAAGTAGATGTACTCCATACGTAATTTCTAGTCATCATGCGTTTATGAAGCCTTTTGCTTTGTTAGAGATCTTATTCAGGACTCCATGGTATACAGGAAACCAAATGAAACAGAAATGGATATCCTTTTGAAAAAACTTGACTTTAAATTGATAGAAATTGCAGTAAGTAGAATCGTCATAGTAATTTGAATGTAGACAAGAACTTCAGCGTCGAAGCCTTATCTGTTAGAAAGTACCAGTTATCAACTGTTGCAGACTCAATGCTGATATTGAACTGGGTTGAGAATGTAAGTTTTCATTATCTTATTAGCAAAATATTTTAAGTCATCGGCGTCTCAATACGTTAAAGAAATGAAGGATTCTGCATGGCTGTATGCAAACAAAGTTGTCCAATACTGCCGTAAGAGGTAAGATTTATTTCATGTATATCTTTATTGTTTTTTGAAATTTCAAAAACTTGGAGCGCATAGAGGAATTACGGATGGTTAATTTAGGCATTTAATTTCCAATCATCAAAACCACGTAGATGCTTGTGTTTTTAGCTTTTAAGTAATCCTCCAAGACCTCGTATATTATGCGTGGGTTCTTATTAAGTTTTATGTGGAAAATCAGTACTGAGCATTAATCTTGCGAGCTCTTAGGATCAAACCTCGTGGAGTGTGTTTGACCACTCAGTCATTTATGAATTTAAAACTTACTTTGGTTATCTTGGTTTGTAATATCAAGAGATAATGAAGCATTATTCTACTTTTTGAAATTTCCAATAACGTCATAATCATTTGGTTTGCCGCTGAAGTGCCACCTAGCATTGTTAATTGTTCAGAAGTGTAAACTTGTCAACTGATTACATCCTAGTTTTGATTTCGAAATCTAAATTGAATTGTGTTCACAGAGATCTCAATGTACTAATTACTCGATACAATGAAGTTTTATTCATATGCAGATGCACTGGGGAACAATGAAATCCTAAATTATCACCCTAGTAATGCACATTTAACCTAGTTTTATCAATAGCCAGTTGCTACAAATAAGGTGTACCGTTAGTTCATATGATCAAATATAAAAAAAAATATATGCTGATTAATTATCTAGTCTACTATTGTTAAATTTTTCACACAACTATCTACCCGAAGAATACTATGAACTATAAACTTTCAACACATTTTCATGTGAAATGGGATAATTTATATGTTCTCTTTGTCATTTTTAGATTGCGAAGTAAGACTGGTTAAGTTTGGAGTAATCAAATTAACTACAAACGACATATAATATATTTTTTGTTTCAAAAGAAACGAGTAAAAACTAGCGGTTTAGTGTAACTAACATAAACGAAGTGTTGATGCCAGTCTACTACATTTTTCTCCAATGAAACTCCCAGTTTACAGTTTAATTTACAATTTGCAGCTAACACAGTACAAGGTGAAGTTTCACTACAGATTCCTTTGGAAACTGTAGTTATTCAATATTCGGAATATGTAATCTGGTCAGATCGAAGTGATCTGAACACTGGACAGCTGTTTCGTTCGTTTGAAGAGTAGCTCACCAGCGGTGTACTCGGTGAGATTCAGCTTAGGAAGGCAAATCACCACTTAAAAGCTAGCCAGCTACTTGGGCAGACTGTAATACATGGAATCAAATCAAGCATTACTTGTTGATTCGGGTGGTATGCAACTACTTATATCGGTCAATCGGCAGTATCTACCATCATGCATTTACACTTTTCTCCTGTACATTTAGCACTGTTTGTCGTGTTGACAGTGCTTTTAATTTATTAAGTAGTGCCAGCTTGTATATTCATGGTGGTGTAGTCGACTGGATTTGGTGGTCAAGTTTGGAGCGAAATGAGATCTCTGTGGTGAATTACTGCCCTATCTCCTGCATAATAAGCTTGCGGGATTACATGCTTGTGTTGCATTATTTTCGACCTAGATGAGGTGATCTGATTTGGAATTACATTCTACCCCACTTCCCAAGTTCTGTAGTTACATTAATGTTGCATTATTTTGTAGTTTGTTCCACATAAATTTCTAGAAATAACCTGAATACCTGTTTTATTAATTCTGGATTGGAAAGTTCTCTCTTATTTCCAAATTAACTTTTTTTTAAATAAGATTGCTTAATCCTTTTATTTTATGCTTCTATTTAGCCTTCCAGAGCATGTTGAGTGGATACGTTCGTGGCTTGCGTGTCTGGAGGAATTATGCCTACTAGTTGATGAACATTTCCCGTATGGTTTGAAGTGGAATAGTAATGGTCCAAAACTACCTTTACCAACTGTTGAAATACGTCCAGTTCAACGTTTACAACCCAACTGCAATCCTACTTTGCCCTGTAGAACTTCTTCAGCAGAGGTAAATAGCATTTTTGCAAAAATTTATCTGCTATTTTATTATTATTACTATTTATTGGATAAAGATTGAAAGAACTGTTAGCTTTATCTTGAGGAAATAATATTAGAGATGGCTAATTTACTATGTTAAAACTTTCACATTTTGAGTGATATGCCGTGATTATTCCAGCCTATTATATTATCGATTTGTAAGTGTATACCAGGATATCTTTTTGTCGAAACAATTTTCACAGTCTCTTTTACTTATGATAATCTAGTTTTAATATTCTAAACACTAGACTTACAAATACGAGTGCATGAGTTAATCAACCTGTTAAGCGTCAGTCGTGTCTCGGTTTCAATACTTCTGCACTTGCAGGTGAAAGTAAATAAGCCTTATTTTGATTTTGATAGCCTGTCAGTGGTTTGCATGGTTGGAACATGCTCTTCAGTTACCACTATCTCCTCCAGTGAATATTACTCAACTGTGGAAATAATTTTAAATTACACTAATATACTTGTTATTCACAGGGTTTCATATTTTCTTGAATTCAATAACGAATACTTAGCATTGACAGTGGACAAATCACACATTTAGACGTATATTCTATAACCGATGTGTGTGTGCAATAGTGATTTCATTTATCTAAAGTGATTTACTAATTGGCACTCGAAAAAAATCAAAACTCAAGTGACTGTGGAGATACTAAGATTTGTAATATTTTGTACCTAAAACTTTAATTGTGATATGCTGTACCGTTGTAACGGCAGAACACAAAAGTATTTGGCAACGGAATTATTTTTTGGCAACTGGATATACAGGTATGGGTAAAATTACGTCTAGCAGTCTTCGTATGTTTAGCATGCGATTCGCCCCTGTAAAATGTAAGATGCTACTACAGGACTGGACTACGTCAACTCCTAGCTTAGTGATAGGGAGTGAAGTGATAGAACATGTTGACCACTTCACCTATTTGGGAGGTTGTATCAGCATCAACGGATTGATTGGTGACGAAATCTCAGCACGGATCCAAAAAGCTCGGGCTGCTTTCGCTAACTTACACCACCTCTGGCGTAGGCGTGACATCCGACTATCAACCAAGGGACGTGTGTATTGCTCAGCAGTTCGCTCCGTCCTTCTCTATGGCTCTGAAACATGGCCAATACGAGTTGAAGACATGAAAAGGTTGACTGTTTTTGATCATCGATGTTTACGATCTCTTTCTCACGTTAGGTGGCATAATAAGGTAAGTAATGTTGACGTTAGGCGTAGAGTGTTGGGCAAAGAGGGAAAATCAATCGACGAAGCTATAAAGTTACATAGATTGAGATGGCTAGGTGTCACGTGCTGCACATGCCTAACCATCGCCTCCCCCGACGGGCATTACTAGCTGACATAGATGCAGGTTGGAAGAGAGTAAGTGGTGGCCAAACAAAAACATGGCTTCATCAATCCATGAAATCCTTGACAATTAAACTGCGTCAGGCAGGGAGATGCAGACTTCCGGGTTGGGGCCCTCGGGACCCTAAGAATCAGTGGCTGGAGACAATAGGTGACATGGCTCAAAATCGTTCCTTTCTACCATCACTCATTCTGTTTCACTCCTATACTTGTCAAAACTCTATTAATTCTCTTCACTCATTTTCTTGTCTACCTTTGTGTGCTCTTTGGAACGTGGCAACTCGAACTGTTGCACTTCGGTGCCAAGTTCTATGTTGAATTTGCACATATCTTCGGTTTTGTGCTGCTTTGTCTTCCCTTCGTGTCTTCCATGTTGTTTCACAAGCATCATTCATTTCTTCCCTTCGCGATTAAATCCATATCTCGGCTATTCAATATTCTTCCAAGTGATATACATATTTATATCTGTATGTTTTAGATATAATAGAGAAGATTTGTAGCTCAGGTGGATGATTTTGGTGTGGTTGTGTTCTCTGAGCTGGATGGTTTGGTTGCGAAGCTTTCATTGCTCTACTGAGCAACATCTTCAGCGCATACTTCGAAGTATGCGCTGAAGATGTTGCTCAGTAGAGCAATGAAAGCTTCGCAACCAAACCATCCAGCTCAGAGAACACAACCACACCAAAATATATCTGTATGTGTATACAACTTATAAACCTTGTCAGTAGCACACACCAAACCACAACTAATTAATTGTATTGCACAACAGTGAGTCGCTGGCACAGCGGTAGAATGCTCTCCAACCACGCTATATGTGGTTCAGGGTTCGATCCTCGGCCGCCGACGCACTCATTTATCTCGCTAAGCCAGTAATAAGACTGGTAAAGAGGGAGGGTTGGGCATGAGGCTAGCAAATCCATCCCGTAAAAGTAAACACCACTGCTACCGAAACTTCAAAAAAGCTCTAGCTTGAAGCCCTATGTTCCACTGGTAACGTAAAGGAATAAAAACAACAACAACAACAACAGGTGAAGTTCGAGTGTTAAGCTAAACGTCATTTCTTATCAACTTAGGAGATTCCCATAACTCGAAGACTTACAGGCGAAAAGCAACAAACTGGCAGAAGAAGCAACGGAGACAGGACTTCAGGTGAATATGGAGAAAATGGAGGTGATGAAGATAACCAACCAACAACAACTAAACAATAATCACTATTAACAGAAGAAATTTAAAAGGGGTCACTCCTTTCACTTATCTGACCAGGCAGCATCGTTTCAACTACAGGCAGACGGCATGGATGAGGATGTCAAAACAAGGATCGGAAAGGCCACTCAGACTTTCATCACTGTGAAATGAGTTTGAAAATCAATTGTACTAAGCATAAGAAAAAAAGATTCAGATTCGCAGCACTAACGTTAAGCCAGTCAGTTCTTCTATATGGGTCATAAATTTGGTGACTGGTGACTGCAGACTTTCACCAACAGGTGCCACCTTCGCTGGCTCCATATTAAAGATTAGATGCCGACCAGAAAGAATTAGCGACAAGAAACTCTGTAAGCATACCAACGCAGAACCTATCGTCCATCCACAGTGCTGAAGAAAATGGAGATGGATTAAGCACACGCTGAGGAGACCGTTGGTTGACACGTCACGTGATGCAGACCATCGCTTGAGTGGACAGTGAATGGGAAATGACGAGTTAGGCGGCGGTCCGGTGATATGGAGGAGATGAGAGACTATAGGCAATTGTAGGAGAACCTCAGAGAATAGGACAAAATGCAGACATGTGCTGTTGAAGCCCTATGTTTCACTCGAAACCCAAGAGGAACAATGATGATGACAGTAATAAATAGTGGATTTCCATAACTCGACCGCTCACTTCTTTTTTTTTCTTTTAGTTATTATTAACACTTTAAGTTAATCTCTTCTATGTACTTTTGACGAATGACGGAGAGGAAAAATTAATAAAATTAATAAAAATTCGTTTTTTTTTCTATTGTAAAGTGATCCTTAAAATTTTAAATTTCCTAAGTGAATTAGAATGTCAGTTAAATTCCTTTAAAATAACTTAACCAGATAAACGTTGTCGATAGATGACAGTTTTAATGCATTATAATTTCAATTGATTGTGGATCATGTGGCCTTATTGCTACCCTAAAGTAATCACTATATATAAATATGTATCTGTACACTTTTAACTGCTAAATGTTAGCTAGGTGTCCTGTATTTGTTGTGAATAAGATTTGTAAACCAGAAGGTTTTCTTTTGATCGACCTTGCTTTTTTAATTTTAAGCTTTGAATAACACCTAATATGTGTAGATGTATGCGCTGCGATGCGCTCGCCGCGCCGCGATTATTTAACCTGAATTAGGCGTAACGGGTTTATATTCTTCATATTCTTAAGGTTGTTTGTCAAGTATCTATGGCGCTAAGTTAAAGCTGAACATTCTTTGAATACCATGAAGTAAGAAAGATTATGCGTATATGCGTGATATGATGATTATAAGCAGTAAATTCTGTCCGTAGCATTGATATGTCTGCTATATTCAGTACAAGTTTGGTCACAAGCTGACATCAGTTAGAGAACTATTGGAAAACTTGGAGGTTGTACGTAACCAGCGGGGTCCACCAAGTCGGGTAAGAGATCAGTTAATCGCCTATGACATTGACTGGTGGTTGCGCTTTTTTATTCCTTCACTTTCCCAGTGGAACATAGGGCTTCAAGCTAGAGGCTTGAAGTTTCTGTAGCAGTGGTGTTTACTTTTACGGGATGGAGTTGCTAGCCTCATTCTCAACCTTTCCTTTTTACCAGCTTTATTACTGGCTTAGCGAGACAAAGGAGTGCGCCGGTGGTTGGGGATCGAATCCCGGACCATGTACATGGTCGGCGGGCGTCCTAACCGCTGTGCCACCGACGCACATTGGTTGTGCTTTACATATCACGAATTGGTAGAAGTTGGAATTCATGCTCTAGTCATAGAATCGGTTCCCAGTTGCTGAATGATCTACGATCTTGCCTTGTAGTGGGAAGGTTCTGGGTTCGAACTCCAGTCGGTGGGGCACATTGCTGAAGAGTCTTAAACCTGGGGTGAAACAGCTGTTCAGTACTTCCAGGTTTTCCAGTGGTTCCCTTTACTTGATGTCACCTCGTCATCACCTGGCCATTGAGAGTGGAAGACATGAAAAGATTAGCTGTCTTTCATCATAGGTGTCTGCGTTCTATCTCCTGTATGAAGTGGTATGATAAGGTGAGCAATATTGAGGTTAGACGTCGGTCGAGTGCTAGGTAAGGTGGGGAAATCAATCGACGAGGCTGTGAAATTACATCGACTGAAATGGTTAGAACATGTGTTACGTATGCCTAGTCATCGCCTTCCTCGACAACGGGCAATGTTAGCTGACATAGGGTCAGGCTGGAAAAGAGCTAGTGGCGGTCAAACCAAAACATGGCTTCACCAGTCAATGAAATCCACAACAGTTAGTCTAAGCCACGTAGGAAGGTGTAGACTTCTTGGCTGGTTGAGGTCCTCGGGACGGTAAAAACCAATGATGGCTGGAAACAATTGGTGATATGACTCAAAATCGTTCTCAATGGCTGGTGTAGATGCATCCACTCCTTGTGACTTATGATTTCCATTTAAACTTTTGTTCTCCGTTATTACTATTCCTTTGTCTCACACCTGTTTACTGTCTATATTATGCATTTCTTCTACTTTCTTCTCTTGCTTTGTGTGCTACATGGAAGGAGTGTGGCGACTTGAACTGCCGCACATCAGTGCAAAGTTCTATGTCGAAAATAGACAGACAGACAGACGTCATCGAACCTGTAATCAATCAAATCTCCTGAAAATCAACACCTGACAAATATATCCAGTATACAAATTAATATGAATGATTAAATATAATCTTTTCTCTTCACTCATTATCATTATTTACCAGTGTTGAATACATGAGAATGCTAATTAGTATGAATAAAAAAATAACAATCATTATCATTCAGCTACATTATTTTAAATACAACTGAGGTCAGTAAACATTGAACATACTTCTTGTCTGGAGCACTTGAGTTGTATACAACCAGCTATCACCATTGTTCCCAGCCAACAGTGGGGTTAGACAGGATTGCCCAATCTATCCATTTCTTCTTAGTTTTGCCATCGGTGACATTCTAAAGTTAATTCTGAAGTAGATGTGTGTGGGCGTTGTAGATTGCTTCCTGAAGCAAGACTTTTCGACCTCGAGCATGCACATGGTATCGTCTTAATGTACCAGTGGCATGCAAACTGCCCGAATAGCAGTTGACCAATTGGCAATCAGTGTCTGTAAGTATGACGTGTGCTATGCATCATCTAAGTGCAAAGTATTGATACAAGATTGATAGGAGCCTATACTTGCATTCACCTTTGCATGTGAACTGATTGAAGTTGTCGAGAAGTTTGTGTATTTGGAAGTAGTTGTGTGAATGCTGGCGGAGGTATCCTGGATGCGATCTCTAGCCGTATCATGAGGGCTAGGGTGGTACACACCAAATGGAGTCATCTCTGGCTATCAAAAGTCGGGCTTACAATGCTTCGGTGGACGCAGTCGTGCTCTACGCCTGTGAAACCTGTCCTCTCTGAGCTGAGGACGTGCGGCAACTCTACGTATTCGATCATCGCTGTCTCCATTGAACTGCTTGCATTCATTCGCATCATTGTGTGGGTAATTCTGAGGTCCGGTAGCGTGTAATTGGACACAGTGGAGCCACCATTCATTGAGTGCCATCATCTGAAAACACGGGCTTCGGTGGCTTGAACATGTGCTACAAATGTCATTCCAGAGGTTTCCGTACCGGTCTGTGTTCGCTAGCCCTGGGACTGGATGGAAAAAGTGGAGGGAGGTGGTTAGCCTATGACGTGGTGTCGTGGGATGAAGGATATTTGTGTTAGGTTAGCATCAGTTGGTACACAACATCACGACTCCCTGGGTGGTGTTTGAGATATAATTCGAATCAGTAGCTCGAAAAGTTGTTATATACGGCCAAGAATCACAATCAATGGTGAATATGCTATGCTTCTTTCATCCCTTTCTGACAGTAATACAGTTCCGTTTTCACAATACTTGCTTCCTTCTGGATAATACTTTATTAATTCTCTTTATATATTATTGTTCTATTATTGTCTTGTGTGCATCTTTTGGCTATAAGTAAATAAATGTAAACGTGAAGCTTAACAAAGATGGGTAAAGGAAAGAAACAGATCTCTCTGCAACTACGTTAGTGCTAGACAGTTGTGCTAAGATTCCACTAGGTGGTGTTTTCAAACTTCATTTGTTGCGTGTCCTCGCCTCCGGCTTATGCAGCACTACAAGTCGTGTGGTAATACTGCAACTTTTCAAAGTCTATTTAACTGATTCAATTGTTATTTGTCTGTGTAGTACTGCTTCACTTTTTAGTCATGTCTTCCAATTTCACCGATGATATTCCTGATTGTGATGGACTGACTGGATTGTGCGTCAGACTGCACAGGTAGTGAGAAGACAGGAATACGTTGGACCCATAAGAGGATTCTAGAAGATCTGGATTTCACAGATGATTTATGTCTAGTGTCACACAAACTCGAAGACTTACAGCCGAAAACTACAAACTAAAAAAGCAGAGAAGACAAGACGCCAGGCGAACCTAGGGACGACCAAGGAGGTAACAAGTAACCAACAGTCAGCACCAATCGCCACCAACGGGAGAGATTTGACAGAGGTCGCTTCCTTCACTTGTCTAGGAAACATTGTTTCAACCACAGGCGGGACGGATGAAATGTCAAAGCAGGCCAGAATCGGAAAGGTCAGATACACCTTCATCAGTCTGAAATCAGTCTGGAAATCTTCTGCACTCCGCAGCATAAACAACGTGATTGGGATTTTCAACACAAATGTGAAGTCAGTCAGTTCTTCTGTACGGGTCAGAAACTGGGCGTGTCACGAAAAGCATTCCCAAAAGTCTGTTGCAGACTTTTATCAACAGCTGTCTTCACCATCTCCATAGTGAAGATCGAATAGCCAGAAAAAATTAGCAACAAGAAACTCTGGCAACAAACCAACGAAGAGCCGATTGCTCGACAAATATGTAAGAAAAAATGGAGATAGGTTGGGTATACGCTGAGGAGATCGTCGAATGACATCGCGCTCCAGACCGTCGCTCGAGTGGAATCCCAATGGGAAGCGACGAGTGGGTCGTCAGTGCGAGGGTGACATGGAGAAAATCTCGCGAGGTGGAGATGAGAGCTTATGAGTAATCGTGGACCCAGCTGAAGAGGACAGGAGAAAATAGAAGAAAGTGTTGTTGAAGCCCTATGTTCCACTCGGAACCCAAGGGATTAATAATATAATAATAACAAGTGATTTAGAAATCAGCATCATCATAAGATCTCCCGTCAGAGCTTATCATCACAGTATGTTATTTATCACCAGAAGGTTATAACCATTGAATTGAAATTCCCTCCAAAACATCATTTACACCCATGTATTTATGGTTCTCTCATACAACACAATTGTGTAAAACAAATTAGTATTGTTTCTAAACTTACCTTTTGTTGTGTATTCACTCAGCACCGAGTTATAGTACGTTTCCTATTATTTTTTTTCTTACTTGCACTTTTTCTTAGAATCGCCGCGCAAAAATGTCGATGCCTTCACAGTCAACTTCACCTGATCTGGCTCAGTTATTCTCTGAGTTGACAAGTGCTCATAAAAATCTCCGGCATGTCAGTGTACCTGATATACTATAATGATGATGATATCTCAGAATGCAGATAAACTGACTCACTTAATCAGGTAAGTAGTATCTGTTAAAGGCAATAAAAGTTCACTCCACAAACCCCTTACACCATAATCCTTACTAATGTCCTTTTTATGTGTAATAGTTTGACTGAGAGAATTTAGTCTGCATCAAACAAAAGACTAGATGTTCCATCAAAGTACTCAGTACAGTCCTAGAGGAGGTGGTGAGTCGCGGGTCCGAATAGCTCCTCACTGGTGGTAACGTTTCTGACTGCAGCACTCTCTGGTTGACACGGGTTCGAATCTCAGAAGGGTGGGGGGAGGGACATGAGTTGTTCCTTCAAGATTACAGATACGCCTTGCTGACTGATTGGTGAGTGCCAACAAGCACGAAACGTAGATCAGGTTAGGCTTCCTTCTGATTGACAAACAAAATACTACCACCTGAAGCTTAGTAGAGGGACAAATATGTGGACCACCAGGTCACGTTGTCAGTTTTCAGTCAGTAAGTGACAGGTTCGAACACCGCCTCATCTACATACAGTTTGAGCAACCTTCACACAATAGCTGTGACCGGTTGCTAAGTAAATTAATATCTATGTGGTTATTGTGTGACATATCGTTTTCAAATTGTACAAATAGTGTTGCTGCTCTCAAATTTTTAATACTTTATATATGACTTTAAACCGACAAACCGGTCGAAGAAGCAGCAAAGACAGGACTCCAGGTGAACATAGACAACACGGAGGTTATGAAAATAACCAACCACCAACAACAACAGCAGCAACATCCACCGCCAATCACCATCAACGGGAGGGATTTGAAAGAGGTTACTTCTTTCACTTATCTAGCGAGCATTGTCTCAACTACAGGAGGAGCGGACGAGGCTGTCAAATCGAGAATCGGGAAGGCGAGAAACACATTCATCAACCTGAAACCAATCTGGAAATCTTCGTCACTCAGCATCAACAACAAAATTCGGATTTTCAATACAAACGTCAAGTCAGTTCTTCTATACGGATCAGAAACTTGGCGGGTCACAAAGAATATTTCCAATAGCCTGTTGCAGCCCTTTATTAACAGCTGCCTTCGTTCTTTACTGAAGATCAGATGGCCGGAAAGAACAAGAACCAACAAGAAACTATGGGAACAAACAAAACAAGAACCAATCGCTTAACAAATATGCAGAAGAAAGTGGAGATGGATTGGACATTCGCTGAGGAGGCCGCTGGGTGACATCGCGCTTCAGGCCCTCGAGTGGAACCCGAAGGGGAAGGGGCGAGTGGGACGTCCAAGGGTGACATGGAGGAGATCGTGTGAAGAAGAACTGAAACAGTATGGATTAACATGGATGCAAGTGAAAAGTACAGCAGAAGACAGAAGCAAGTGGAGGCATGTAGTTGAAGCCCTATGTTCCACTAGGAACCCAAGGGAACAATAATAATATATATGATTTTATGAAGAACATATGACTTCACGAATGTTTAAGAGGAGGATAGGTAAGTAAATGGAAGAAAGCTTAGAATAAGCGTTTGACATTGTAAAATTCAAAACACTGTAGTAAAAAGCAGTTAGAGAGTTATCGTTTACTAAATTGACTGCTGGTAGTAGACGTGACAGATGATGAGGACTAGAGTTGTAACGAAAGACCTTTTTATAGTTGACACACACACACACAAACTCATTATATTATAAGTAATACTGGAAACATATAACTGTAGAAGGTGAAGAGAAAAGTGTTACATACATTTATTCCCCTTAATGAATTTGAACAAAGCAAGAACTACAGTTTTAGTAGAATAAAGTGGTACCATCATCGGTTATTTCGTTGCCTTCTCGTCAGCTGCTTACAGGCCACAGTCATTATTAAGTATATCTACAGTAACAATTTTAACATACTTGCACAGAGTTCATTTTTAAACAAAAAACCAATCGATCAATATATGCATACACTAATATATATATATATATATATATATATATATATAATAATATATGCAATATTAAACACTATTCCGAACAATAATAATCATACACAATGGAAACTTTACAGCATTTCGCATTCAGATGAAAGAGAGATGGAAATATCCAGTTACCAGGGCAAAGAAAGACTGATAACCGCTTTTTTCTGGACGCATAAATCAGGTTTCAGGTACTTGATGGAAATGGCTTCAGCAAACTTGAGGAGAATTGAGCTCTTTTGTCTGAAAGGAACAAATGCTTTAAGCAGTGCCATCACCAGGCATCTCCTCGACACGAGTCATGAGGTGGGCGTCGAAAAGTTGTTCAAAAGTATCAATAGGTAAAAGAGCTCAATTCTCCTCAAGTTTGCTGAAGGCATTTCCATCAAGCGCCTGAAACCTGAGTTACGCGTTCAGAAAGAAACAGTTATCAGTCTCTTCTTGCTATACGTGGTAACTGGATATTTTCATCTCTCTTTCATCTGAATGCGAAATGTTGAAAAGTTTCCATTGTGTATGATTATTATTGTTCGGAATAGTGTTTAATAGTGCATACATACATGTATATATTATTAGTGTATGCGTATATTGACTGATTGATTTTTGTTCAAAAATGAACTCTGTGCAAGTATGTTACAATTGTTTTTTGTAGATATAATTAATAATGTCTTTGCCCTGTAAGCAGCTGACGAGAAGGCAACGAAATAAAAGATGGTACCATTTTATTCTGCAAAAAACTTCTTGCTTTGTTCAGGAAAGTGTTATTCAAAAGGAATATTCTTAGTTCAAAATAACCTTTGTTTTTAGACCAAGAAGCTTCACTAGATTAGCTGTCACTATGCCTTGCTTGCAACAACTGAATAGCTTCTAAAGAGGGATCACAGCTGAAGTTGCTTTCATCATCAAGAATAGATAACATTTTGGATTTGTAGTCCCTTTTTGTTCATGATGACGATCCCAGAACCTTTATCAGGTTTCGTAATTGTTATATTAGGGTTTTCCTGTATCTCTTTCAAGGCTTTGAAATACTTGGAAGTTAAAATGCTTTTCTCTTTTGGATTGTTGTTTGAAAACTGGTGAGCTATATCCACCATCTTAGCTTTAAGCCCAACCCCATTCTTCATTGGATGTTGCGACAAGACGTTTGAGTTGGTCATAAAAGTTTTCAAACTCATCATAGATGGCTAAATCTGTAAATTGCATGTGAGGAACACAAAATTTAAGTCCAAGAGATAAAGCTTCTTTCTGATGAGTAGATTTGTCACCTATTTATCAGGATTCATCGGGAAAAGATCTACGTGGTTTCTATCATCAATTGAACTCTTCAACTTATTATGTATACTGGTTTTTGTTTCGTGAGTAACATCTTTACGAAACTGAAGAAATTTCATGGGGCCTATTATTGATAATTCGGATAAAATAAATGACACATCGGTATGAAGAACAAGTAGTCCTTGTAACATTTTCGATATGTGACTTTGTAAGACGGATAAGGTTAGAGATATTTGGCTGTAATTGACTGAATTTCAAAGTTTTATATAAAATTGCCTCGGAAAGGAATGATTTTTAATACATCATTCATAAAATTCCAACGTGTCGCGTTCGACAATTTTACACCTGACGTTAACAAGTTCATTTAACCTCTTTTGATAGTATGTGGAGGGGGAGTCTTCTCTTTAAAAATTTAAAACAATTAGTTCCTTTTATGAATTTAGACAAAGCAATAAGAAGACAGTTTGTTCCAAATGTTACCTATTCTTGATGATAAAAACAACTTTAGAAGATATTCAGTTGTTGCAAGGCATTTTTATTCCTTCACGTTCCCAGTGGAACATAGGGCTTCAAGCTAGTGGCTAGTAGCCTCATGCCCAACCTTCCCTATTTACCAGTCTTATTACTGGCTTAGCGAGGTAAAGGAGTGCGTCGGTGGCCGGGAATGGAACCCCGGACCACATGAGGCATGGTTGGCAAGCATTCTACCGGTGTGCCACTGACGCACAAAACCAACAGGGAGTACTGGACAACTGTTTCGTCCAAGCTTAGGACTCCTCATCAGTACGCACCCACCGGGGCTCGAACCCATGACCTTTCGGTTACGAGGCGAGCTCGTAGTCCATTAAGCCACTGAGGCCCTTATTCATTATAATAAAGGTTTTTTGTATTTCACAATGAATGAAAAACAAAACGATATTGTTGTGTTTACTGACGTTTCGCTATTTAATGTTGCTGCTAATAGCTTTATCAAAGTATTATTGAACCAGAATTTACAAACTCTCAGCATATATACATATATAACAGAGTTAATAGGTGAGAAAATAGACTACTTAGGTCAAGTTAAAGGGACATATTGAAAGTCAAAATAACAATATAGATCACTAAACCAAATAGCAAAGGGGTAATAGTACGTCTGTTATGATATCAAAACAAGGTTTACTAACTTGATCATCGTTCGTCTGTCTGGGGGCATTTTTTGTTGTTGTCAAGTTGGTCAATTGGTAAAGATAACAAAACGAAGAGTTAGTTAGTTAAACGAGCAAACATCTCCTTTTAACGCTTGTATATCTTTAGAACCCTTACATAGTTACGTATTTTCCTTCGTTTCTATGTACATCCTGAATACAACTCATTCATTCATTCATTAAATTATTCATCTTACTTATTATGTTACTCTAATACACTTATTCAATTCCCCCACCAGATCTAATCCTTACAAACCAACTATAGAAAATTAATCTGATGCTCGCTAGTGACTTGTTACAGGATGGAGTTTCCTGGAGTTCTAGTGAGAAGTCGTCACCAGTGTCACGTGTGAGGATGGATGTCCCACCGATGACATTGGTTGGGGTCGCGCTAAATCATTGGATCGGTTCCCAGTGGCTGAATGGTATACGAGCTTGCCTTGTAACCGGTAGTTATCCTGGGTTCGAACCCTGGTGGTGGGTGCGTACTGATGATGAGTCCTAAACATCAGGACGAAACAGCTGTACAGTACCTCCTGTGGCTTTGTTTTGATTGGTCGTCTCACTGATATCAATCCGTGGGCAAACTGGAAACAAACCAAACTATGTTATATTATTATTATTATTATAACGCATTGCATTGTGTAATTTACACCAACTTTTCATGTATATATGTGCACATATTTTCATTTTTACAGATCATAGTGTGTGTGTGTTCTCCAATCAACAAATGTGCCTTTTCTTGAGGATAATACTGTGCAGCTTTGAATAATGCTGTTCTGTTTTTATTGGCTATCAATAGAATACTACGAATAAATATATACATGCATTTATTATATATACACTACCCCGTTAATTATTCTTCTATTCTACATTCATTTTTCTCATCACCGAATACACCGAATAAAATATTCTTTTTCATTTTTGTTTTATCTTGCTTCTATAATAATAATAATTATTATTATTTTTCCTACATGTACAGTATATCGCTTTCAGAACCTCAATTATATACAAATAAACCAATTGCATGCAAGATTTGGTGTTTCTTTTGTTTTTTTAAATTTATTTTTTGACCATCGGAAAAAATATTCACCAGGGAATAAATCAAGAGAGCGAGAGAGCTTCGTGTGCTTTTGGGAGAGTGAAAACGCTAGCTGTCTGCGTTCTGTCTCCCATGTCAGGTTGTATAATAGGGTGAGTAATGTTGAGGTGAACATAGAGAAAACAGGGGTGATGAAGATTCCTGGGCAACACTAACAGCAACAACAACAACAGACAACAATCAGCATAAATTGGATGAACCTGAAAGAAACAACCTCCTTTACCACCTACCTGGGAAGCATCTTTTCAACTACAGGCAGGCGAAACTGACGAGGATATCAAAGCAAGGATCGGGGAAGCAAGACAAGCTTTCATTACTCTCAAGCCTGTGTGGAGGCCAACAGCACTCAGCATAAAAATAAAAAGAAGACCCGGATTTTCAACTCCGATGTGAAGTCAGTCAGTGCTACTATACGGATCAGAGACTTGGCCAGCGCGTCATAAAGAGCATCTCAAACAAACTACAGACCTTCATTAACAGTTGTCTTCGCTCAATACTCAAGATCAGATTGCCAGAAAAGATCAGCAATAGAGATCTCTGGGAGCGAACCAACCCAGCAGGAACCGATTGTGAAACAAATAGGCATGAAGAAATGGAGATGGATTGGCTGGCCATACTCTGAGGAAACCATCAAGTGAGTGACATCACTAGACAAGCCATTGCTCGAGTGGAACCCGAAAGGGAAGCGGTGAGTTGGTCGTCAGTGCGAGGGTGGGGTGACTTGGAGGAGGTCATATGAAGAGGAGATGAAAACGTGTGGGTAGACATGGAGCCAAGTGAAGACTCTAACAGAGAACCGAACGCAATGGAGACGCACGGCTGAGGCCCTGTGTTCCTCTAGGAATTAAAGGAAATAATAATAATTTTGAGGTTAGCTGTGGAGGACAAGTCAATCGATGAGGTTGTGAAGCTAGATCGATTGCGATGGCTAGGAAATGTGTAACACCTGACTAACCACCGTCTTCCTCGATAGGGAATGTTAGCTGACATAGGATTAGGTTGGAAAAGAGCTGCTAGTGGGAATCAAACTAAAAACATAGAATCAGTTCATGAAATCTTTGGATCGGGTCCCAGTGGCTCAATGGTCTACGAGCTCGCCTTGTGACCAAAATGTCCTCGGTTTGAATCCTAGCGGTGGCTGCGTTTTGTGAAGAGTCTCAAACTAGTCAGACAAAACAGCTGTCCAGTACTCCCTTCAGGTTTTCCAGTGGTTCTCTAACTGATGTCAGCTCATGATGAAATCCTCCAACCAATCAAACAAAATCTCTACAAAACCAATACTTGAAAATTTTTAACAGTTAGTTTGAGCCAGACACTTGGGGAAGTGTAGACTGCTTGGGCTCGTCAGGATGGTAAGAACTAATGGCTGGAGACAACTGGTGATATGGCTCGAAATCGTTGTGAATGGCGCAGATGCATTCATTCTGTGAGATCAGCCGTATCTATTAAACTCTATTATTAATACATGTCACTATTCCTTGTCCCTCACATTTCAGCTTATTACCGTTCTTTCGAATCTCTTTTTCTCTCTGCTTTGTATGGCAACTCGAAGTGCTGAACTTCTGTGCAGAGTTCTATGTTGAATTCAATCAATCAGTCAGAGAATAAATAAGTGTGGGTGAGTTTGATGCACCCAAGAAACAGACGACAAAGCATGTTTGTCTTTTTTGATTAGAGTTCGAGAGGGTTTCTGTGGTTGATTAACCAGATTATGAAGTCATGGAGAGGATTTTGTTGGCTGAAGTTGTGGTTTATCTGCGAAAGCCAACGAAGGAATTACAATCTAGCAGAGCTCATATTAATCACTCCGGTTTCGGAGTGGTGGCTTCGAATATTGAACTATAGGGTAACTGCGGAACACAGTGGTATTTTAAATAAGGTATTTAGTAGACAAATTTCGCGAGATGATATCTACATTTCGTAGTATCTTTACAATCGCATTACAACTAACTTGGTTAACAATAATAAAATAAAATGCATGACAATTACTCAGTTATATAAAACAAAAGTGCATACTAATGACTAATCATATTTTTAAAGAGGTCAAGTAGACTATGGTAGGCGAAGGTTGAAGTCTATTGTTTTTTGTACACATAGTTTAGGATGTATGTGATTAATCCCCAAAGTGCTTCCATCACCTTTAATAACCAACCTTGAATTAGAGTTATGTGAAATAATTGTGAAGCAGTCATTAATATTGATTTTGTGACTTGAAATTAATAAGTGCTTCACAATGGATGATGCTAATGGATTTCTATTCAGATTAATGGCATTGGGATTTTCTATGTGTTTTGATAACCGTTTTGGAACATGTTCTTTTCGACGACATTGGAACATGAACAAAGCAAGAACTACAGTTTTAGCAGAATGAAATGGTACCATCTTTTATTTCGTTGCCTTCTCGTCAGCTGCTTACAGGCTAAAGACATTGTTAAATGTATCTACAAAAACAATTTTAACATACTTGCACACAGAGTTCATTTCTGAACAAAAATCAATCGATCAATATACGCATACACTAATTATATATATATATATATATATATATATATAATATTAAACACTATTCCGAACATTAATAATCATACACAATGGAAACTTTTCAACATTTCGCATTCGGATGACAAATATTTAGTTACCAGGGTGGCAAAGAAAGACTGATAACTGCTTCTTTCTGAACGCACAAATCAGGTTTCAGGCGCTTGATGGAAATGGCTTCAGGAAACTTGAGGAGAATTGAGCTCTTTTGCCTATTGATAATTTTGAACGACTTTTCGACGTCCACCTCATGACCCGTGTCAAGGAGATGCCTGGCGATGGCACTGTTTGGAACATTCTATTGTTTCTACCTATATAGGTGTCACCTCAACCGGAGGTGAACTTGTAGATACAGTTTGAAGTAGAGTCGACAGAATTCGGTCCTTTAATCGTAGATCCAGGGGTCGAAAATGTCCAAGATGTGATGGAAAGAGATGCAACGTGAAATGTTCGTTTAATGGCTGACCGAAGTCTTTTAGCTGTCAACTGCATAATTTGATCACCCTTGAATGCTAGGTTAATAAAGATAGCTCTCTTTGGTGTAGAAGCTGTCTTTTCAAGATGTGGTCTATCCTTACTGTGACAATCGATAAAGTTTTATGGATAACCATTGGCTAGTAAAACTGAATGTATGTGTTGAAGCTCATCCATCAATGTGTCTCTCGTACATATCACTCTCAAGCTGTACAATCCCATATATACATAGTAAATTGTCTTAGCAACTAAAGGAATATTTATACGAGTTTGACCACGGATTGATATCAGTTAGAGAGCCATTGAAAACCAGCACTGGAGTACTGGACAGCTGTTTCATCCTTGTTTGTGAATCATCGGCAGTACGCACCCAATGGGGTCCGAACCCAGGATAACTACCGGTTACAAGGCAAGCTGGCTGGTATACCATTTAGTCACTGGGACCCGATTCAAACTCTTGAAAAGGAATATTTCCGAAGATAAGCATTTAGAATTATAAATTTTAGATGACAAATTACGTAATGTGGAAAGCGTTATTTATATATATATATATATGTTAGTCAACAAAAATACAGGTTTCAAGGGTGAGTGTAATCAGTGGTATGTGAGACAATATGAATAGTATTCATATTGTTCGCTCTAACTATTTTGTTCTGAATAAATTATGGAAATATTTAAGTTACAATATGAATACTACAGAAAATAAACCAACGAATGCGGTGGACTAGACATAAGTTCAAGGTTGAAAATAACGACAATAGTATTGATTGTAAAACAATAACGATGATGTGGTGTAAACTTAAAAGTACTATTGATGAATGATTGTCAGATAACAATAATAATAATAATGAATTTAGTGAAGTGAAGTGAACAGGATTTTGTAAATACGGTAACAAGTTGGAAAAGCACTACTTAAACCTAAGGTAATAGGAATCATAAGAAAGGTCATGTTCCGAGCTTCAAGTTTGAACTTGGAAGTTTCAGTGGCAGTGGTTTAAAAAAATTTTTCTACGGGGAGAAGTTGTTAGCCTCACGCTCAACCATGCCTACTTACCGCACTTATTACCAGCTAGGTGGAGTTTAGGAGCGTGTTGGCCAGGAATCGTACCTCGAAACATGCGCATGGTTGGCGAGCATCCTACCACTGCTCCACCGATACCAAATCTAATTCATTGTCATGGGCTGTATGAATAGGAGTTCCCTCTTGATAAACTCTAACTTGAGCGTAGATTCGTAAACAGATGTAACTTCTGATAGTAGATGGTTGGAGACAATTGGTAGGAAGTCTTGGACCTAGGTTTCGTGTTTGTTGGCACTCATCAGTCAGAGTTAGTCAGCAAGGCGTATCTGCAAACCTTGAAGGAACTCACGTCCATCCTACTGAGATTCGAACCCGCATCACCCAGTGAGTGCTGCAGTCGGAGAGAGACGTTACCACTGAGCTATCTCAGCTCGCGATTGACCTTCTGAAGGAATGTGTTGGATGCTGTGATTGAACACTAGGCGCCGACTAGCATAAAACCGATTGCCTCCAACCACCTAGCATGGTGGTCACATTGCATACTTGACTGTCCGAATTTAGTGTGTACCAAATAAAGGACTAGATATATTTCACTAGTTACTAGCTGGCGACTAAGCAAAGATGTGACTTCTTTTCAACTCGACGGTAGGCACTGCATGCCTGAAACTTTTACGCATAGAAGACAGTAGCGCAAGTAAAGCACGAAATCCGATAAGTTACATTTAATATAAAAACAAAAACCCAATTCCGATAGCAGTTTAATAGGAAAAGATAAAATATTTGTAGAAATGTTTTCTATAGCTACACAGGTTACACGACAAGAGATTGTATGTTATACGCAAGCTAGCCTGTTGTTAATAAACACGTATTGTATTTTGCAAAACGCTGAGTTGAT